TCATGTCAGGATTTCAATATTTGGGCCCTTTTCCCCTTCAAATGATGTGGTTGTATAATTTCATTTCCTCACAACAGAAGTTCATGGTTATGCTCTTGCACACACAGTTCTAAACCCTTATTCACACGTTTATAGACATATATGTGGAGAAGTCTTGGAAGAGACTAGGATGATTAGAGGAGGAGGAGGTGGGTAGGGGGAATTGTTTGCGGATAGCAGAAAGATGAGAGGCAGGAAGGAAGTGTGGGGGTTGAATAGGACAATATAGGATCAAATGAAAATGGAAAAAACAGATCTAAAAGGTCCATAGATACGAGAGAAGCCAGTCAGGAGGAGAAAGGAGAAGATCTCTAGAGGAAAGCTGAATGGATGAAAAAAGAAACGTGCTGGAAATTGGTTGCACTTGAACAGAATAAAAAGAAGAATGTAAGAAGATACAGAAAAAGTGCAGGATTCTTTCCGGACTGGGCTTACACCAGTAACCCAGATAGGCTTTAAGACGAGGAGATAAGGCATCCCTCTGCTGCTGGTGTGGAGCAGCACTCATCCTCCGCCTGCTGGGCTTTAACAGGCGGTCTGTCATTTAGTGGAGCCCCACTGAGAAAGAAGCTGATGGGTCTGCCAGCTGCCTGCATGGCCTATTTGATTTGATTTTTGTCCTTGTGAGCGTGCTGGGGCACGTGTGTACAGATTTAGTTCATTTAGTTTAAACAGAAATTGGTTCAGATGGTTTTGCAGTCAGAAAACTCAGAATATTTAGTGTTTTTTTATTTTCATTACTTTTTCTGATGCACAGATATCCCATGTAAGCAGAATAAAAGTCAAAACGTAGAATGCTGGACACAATATTAAACGAACAACAAACGTCCACTATTAGATAAACTCTCCCACTTAAATTGAAATTTGAATAGACTTTTCTACAACATAATCTATTACATAACAAGTAGAAATTACCAACAGTTTGATTATCCATATGCAAAAAAGAAAAAAAAACAGGGTTTTATCCAGTTTTGTAGTCGGCTTTATACATTTCCTAGAGGCATTATGTAACAGTCTTTTGAACATACAATGGCTTTATGCATTGAAAATTAGCATTCCTACTTTACTACAACTATTAAACTATTTGATTTAGTAAAACTGAACGTAGAATTAAGATTCTGGTTACATGTGCGATACTTACCTCGTTATTTTTCATGTGATAATGTTTTTACAAACTTGCATATTTGACTTTTCTTTTCAGTCTCATGCATCTCGCAAATAATGATTATAGCAATTCAATTCAAATTCAAAAATACTTTATTGATCCCAGAAGGAAAAAAGAGGGTAAGGCAACAGAACAAGGTTAGGTTAGCAACTACTTTGTTCCTTCATTTTAAATGCATAGTTTTAGTGGGGTTTCTAAAAGCGAAACATCAAATACATGGCTCACAAAGAATAACTCAGAGAGCCTCGAAAAGAAAAGTGTGCTCACTAAAGCTACCAAACACACAGAGCAAATCTTCTTATGGCTTAGTGTGAAAAATCCAAGCAGCGTAACGTAGGGGGGATTTTTCAATGCCTGCTCTGCAAAAAGCTGCTAATATTTCTGGATGTGCACCGTGTGATATAATAATGTGCATTTAACCTTTTGTTTGTAATGATGGGTTTTATTAAACAGGCAACAACTGTAGCAGAAAATGTAATTATTAAAGATTTTAAATAAATCATTCATTGATCAGAAACTTACATTATAGCTGTGTTATCGATCCGTTTTCTGTACCTTCCTCATCTTATTCATGGATGCAGGGAGGTTGTTTCTATCTCTATTAGTTAAAACCAGAATTTTCTTGTCATGAAGCAACCGTGATAACTACTGCTTTACTGAGCAACTRTCACCTATTAGTATCATACATTTGAAGATCATAGTAGCACTAAAAAGTGCATTTATAACCTAATCTACTTTGATCTGTTGCCTTGAGTGTCTGCTAGGCCTGCAGTCATGATATTGATTTTTGTGTTACAGCTACATTATAAATCTCATCTGCTAATCCAAAATGTATTTTTTCAATTTATTTCTTATTTTTGTTATTTTTAGAATTAATGTTTACATATTTGCTTTTTAATAAATTTTTTTATTTGGTTACTGGAAAGTTTGGTTACTGTCACAGATGACACATCAGGCACAAAATAGATCAAAGACGGGTCAAAAACAGTTTTCTAGCACCAAAACCCAACAACCACAGCTCTGTGTTAAAAAAGCACACAGTCATGTAAAATAAGGATCAAGTTATGTAATAAGAATAACAGAAGAGGTCAGTCATACCAAGCATGACATGATACTTTGAAGAAAAATATAGCAGAACACTTTCTAACTCAGACATGTCTTTATAAAACTCCAGGAAAAAGAAAAATTCATTCATGTCTCAGTTGACAAGAAAAGTAATTTGTTGTCAGTTGTAAATAAACACTTTTAGTGCTGCATTTTTTAAAGAGGCTGAGTCAAGACTTCAGACACATCTGTGCCTTTATACTTTGTTATGTTTTGCTGTCATTGTGCAGAAAACTAGCCTGGCCCTTGCCTTCCTTCGCAGCTCCGCTCAATTCTAGTTTCCCTTCACTGCTCCGTCTGGGATTTCTCCCATAGACAAGGATTTCGCTGGCAGATTTTTAGCCGAACCAATCAGAGAACAGAACGTCGATTTTCTGCGCAGTGTCTGCTTGTAGTTTATTTTACCGGGACCAATCAGCAAACAGAAGGCAGAGTTGTGAACGATGTTGATTTTCTGCGCAGTGTCTGCTAGTTATTTTAGCATACGACAGTAGAGGAAGTGAATGAAGCCAGTCCTTGTTGATAAGGCTTCCAAATTAAAATAAAATTGTCTGACGAAGCAGCAGCTCTCATTTACAGTCGTCTCGTTCATCTCGGTACTTTTCTCCTCTCAGTAGGGTTGTTTACAGCACACGTGATTTCCGGTTAGCTTCTTAGCTTAGCCTCCTTCACAGTGACACACACACACACACACACAC